CCAAACCCAACCCCAAACCCATGCAAAATTAATATACAAGTAAATTTGAACATATATATTTTTAATATATTTCAATATTTATGATATAGATATCATAATTAGTACATAACATTATTATAGGATACTTAAATGAAAATTTGATATTAATTATAAATAGCGGAATCCTTTTCTTTTTTACTTTAAGTATTCTATTTAATCATTTACCTGAAAACTATTAAATACGATAAATATATTTACCTCTCCTAAGACACTAAGTTTTGTGTTTTATCATTTATCGAGCTTATTTTTATGCTTTTGCTTAATTTGGTCTTGATTTTAATAACTTAATGTTAATTTTAATGGAAATATTGAACATAATTTGTTTGTTACATTTTATCACTGCAAACATTTATGCTTACATATAGTTGACAATATGATGGTTTTATAAAATTAAGTATGGCCAGTGAAATATTCTTATATAATATACACATAGTTAAACAATAAAGATTTTGCTGAGCAAAATTAAAAAAAAAGGGTTTTTCAAAATTTTTCATAAAAAATAGATAATTATAATTAATTATCCAGCATAAATATAAAAGAACAAATAATTTTATAACTTATTTATGAACAGAAGATATGATAGATAGTTTACAGTTTAATTTGGCAATTAAAAAAGAATATTTCTATTATTTTTACTCATAAACTAAAAAACAATTCCTTATAATTTAAATTATTATATATTTAAAAATTTTTAGAATAACTTAATTAATTTCAAAATCCATGTCAGTTAAATTGTCTTTTAAAATTTATTAATTTTATATTTTTACATTATTTGATAACATTATTTAATTAATAAATTCTTCAAATAAACAAGTATTATTACTATAACTTATTTTATTTTCAAATACTCTAAAAGGAAATAACTATAATCCTAATTTGTTGCTTAAGATTACATATTTGCAATCATACCATTCTCATAATTATCCAAAATGATATTCCTAATATTTTTTGTAATTGCCAAAGAATCTTCTTTTTTTTTTTATTCATAAAAAACTCCACATAACTTTAAGTAAAATTATAATATTAAATCTAACAAGTTTTTTGATATATCTAAAAGTTTTTCTTTTGCAAAGGATTTTTCTAAATCTTTTGAAATATTTATTTTGTTAATCTGTTAATACTTCTTAACGAAGGTTTAGTATGTCTATAAATTTAAGTTAGATGAATTCTAAGAGAGTTTTAATATTAAAATAACGAGTTTCAAAGTTTGTAAGGTTAGATGCCAAATAGTTCAATTGATCTACATAAGTTTTTGCCAAATCACTAATATTGCTTTTATTATGTGAAATTTTTTCAGCTTCATTGATAGTCATACAATTATTTAGCTTTTTCTGCAAAAAACAAGAAATAGTGAATATTAAATTTTTACTTGTATATTTTATGATAATTCCCTTGTATATCTGTCCTTTACTAATTTTAATTAAAATTTTGTATACTATAGGGTATTGCAGATATAATAAACACACTAATTTCTTAAAAGTAAACTCTCTTATTTTATTAACATATTTTAGAAATTACAAATTCATTTGCAGGCTAATTTTAGCCTTTTTTGTCGGTGTAATTATTCAATATTACCCAAACAAAGCCTTTCTTGATTATTATAGCTTAATGATTAATTAATTTGTGGAAATTATTCTATTTGATTAATTGACTGATAAAAAATTGAAGTCTTGGCATTCCTAAAATTAATTATTAGATAAAAAAGAAAAAATAATATTAACATTCATTAACATTAATAATTCGATTTAATAATGGATGACATATAAATGAAATGAATTAATTTATAGGCTGTTTTTCCTATGATTTATTATATTAAGAGGAGCTACTTGAATATCGAAAAATGGAGAGACTACTAAGAGGAGTGTGAAAATTGTTTAATTAACCATCTAAACAATTTAAATTCCTTTAATGATCTGAATGTTTTAATTTTCATTTTTAGCAGTTACTTCTGTTAATATAATTAAATAGTTATATTGATGATGATTAATAAAAGCAATCGGTATATCCCATAGAAATTAGAAAATAGCATTTTTTATTAAGATCTACTAATCAATTTTATCTTGCTCATGAACCAAATTTATTCCTTAACATCATAAGAATTCTTTAATCAAAACTAATAAAAATAATATTAGCAATATCAATTTTAATAAAAGGAAAAGTGTTTAAAAATGCAGGAGATAATAATGATGAACTTTCATAAATGTTTAATTCAAAAATGAAATTAAAAAGGCATTATCCAACTAATGAAATTTACCCTTATTAACATGAAAGTTTTTTAGATAAGATTAAGATTAATAAATTAAGTGATAAAACGTTTGAACTGATATCTAGAATAATTAATTTTTTTTAACAAATTTAAAGATTTTGGAGTAAAACTAATTGTAAATACAAATATTCAATTGGATAAACAAATTATCATATAAAAATAATTAATTTTCTTCTTATTACAACATTAATATAAAATTAAAGAAAAAAGTAAATTGTTAAAAATAATTATTTCTAATTTTTTCAGTTATTCTTGATTGGTCGCTTATAAAATTAAATAATATTTATAACCATTTCATAAATTTTGAGGAATGTAGAATTATCAATTGAGGTAATGTATAATTAATGATCATCTAATTGATGTATTATTTTAACACCAGATGTGATAAATTAGTATGGGAAACATGAAAATATATACTTAGTATTAATAAAACCAAAAGAAAGGATAAGTGTATGCAAAATTAGATAGTATTTTCTCTAAATTGAATTGTCGTAATCATACAGTAGGCTGATATTGAAGTATTTGGCAGATAATAAATTTGGGCCTGAAACTAAACCATTAAAGTTTTTGGAGATGTAAATATAGAACTGCAGATTGAATTGTATTATTGATTAAATATTAATATAAAAATTATGATGTCGGTAAAGAAAATAGATAGCGATGTAAAAATTTAATGGCTACAGTATATTCAAGTAATTGAAAAATAGTATGGTGATTAAGAAGTAAGATAAATACGGATTAGTTATCTTTAGTGAATTTGGAACATACTAGTTAAAATAAGTTTATGATTATATCTAATAGTTAAATCTCCTTATTTTATTAAATATACGAGTAAATTCAAATAGCTTATGCATATTTTATAATGAGTATTCTTTATCCCTCTAAAACTAATGAGGTGATTTCCATAAACTCTAAAGATTAAATATGTGCTTCAAAATTAAAAGTCATCTTTCCTTCTCATTTTTCTTTCATCTTTTATAGTCATAATGTCAACTGTTAAATAGAAAACAAATAGAGAATATTTGTATCATTGTTACATTTTTTATATTCATTTTTCTATTCCTCTATGTCATAATTTATTTTGAACTAAATATCTAATAAATTTTTAATTCTTCTTGAAAAATGAATTTTTATTATATATTTTAAAGTTTAAATCTTATTCAGAAATAATATTATTATTTAATAATTTGTTCTCACTAAAATAATAATCATTGCTATCCCATATCTTTTTCATAATACATAAAGGATCTTCACTTTTATTTGGTTGGTATTCCTGCATATATTATATTGTTAAATAATACTCATTTTAATTCAGCCTCTTTTTGATAATCAATATTTAATCATCGATCTGCATTTTAGACAATTCCAAAACAGAGTCCAAATATCACATATATTAAATAAAGATTATTTTTCTAAATTATCATTTTAGTATTTAAAATATTTTTAAATATTTATCAGATTAACTTAATTACAAATCAAATGGAACTTCAAAAATTAGTTGACTTTTAAATAAAATAGAAATTAAACAAATAATTTAGCATAAGCAAAGAAGATGACTTAGAAAATATTGTGTCAACAGATTTTGTGAAGATTAGTGTTGCAAGTCTATTTGATGATAACTAAATTCTTTCGAGCTTCCATTAACCATTTGAAATTTCAAAAGAATAATATTAACTTTCATACAATTTACACACCACTTTGTTGAAATAAATAATGAACTCAATAAACTATTATATAAATTACTATATTTATAAATGATCAGTAATTATTAGTTTATATATTAAGTTCATTAAAATTCATCCATCAATAATCTCATTTATTATTTTATATTGTTAATATATTAATTACATATACTATTAAATGATTTATTTGTAACATTAGATTCATTTTTAACAAATGAATTAGAAACTATAGCTTTTAGGAATCATTCATAATATTATATTATTTTGTGCTTTTAAATAGTTGTTTGAGTTGGTTTAACTAATTATTTCTTTTAGGCTGCATCTACTTAACATTTGACCATGATTTTTAATGATGATTAATAGCATGGTTAACTATAATATTTCTATAAGTCTGCAATTCCTGTTGTAATTATTATTATTATTATTATTATGAAAATTCATAATCTTAAGCCTAATGTTAAAACTTTATTTATTTTTAATAAGGAATATATTGTATAACTACCCATATGATTGTGATTTCATATTGTTGGAATTGTAAGGGACTTTTTATCTGATGATGCAAATTGAATATCTGCTAATGCTTATTTCAATTAATCAAATTTCTATTTTAAATCTTCATCCTCTTATGTTTAATTTAATTATGAACATTTGATGCTAATTAAATAAAAACTTACTTATATATAACTAAAATTAATCCAAGACTTAAAGTTGTAACTTTCACGAACATTCTGACTGGGAACAATTTGTTAGGACCTATAACATTAATTTTATATTAATTATTTTATATATAAATAATTTTTACAGGCATTATAATCATAATTAAACTCTTTCGTGGTATATTAATTATTTTTTCAATAATAGTGCTCACATATATACATCATTTTAATAAATCAATACTATTTTTTTATCACACATATAATATATGAAGTGCCTTCATTGTTCTAAAATAATTAAAAATGTTCCAAAATATTAAACTTAAAGCAAATTTCTATGAGATGGGAGGAATCCATAAAAACTAGTTATCAATAAAAATTAGAAATAAAAGAGTTCTAATTAGAAAAGGTTATTGAAGCATTTAAGAAATTGCGGTGTTATAATAATTTTGTTTTTAAAATTAAAAAAATA